CAAATCACTATCGGCAATAGTCAACAAATTCCTATTCAACATACTGGTAAGGGCATACTTCCTACTCTTACTTTTGCCTTTTCTCTCAACATGGTTTTACACTCTCTTTCTATTTCTTCTAATCTACTTTTGGTTAATCAATTAGCTAAAGATAATAATTGTATTATCACATTTGATTTTTCTCACTTTGTGATTCAGGACAAGTATTTGAAGAAAATTCTTCACAAGGGTACTAATACTAATGGTCTTTACCATTTTCATTCATCTGCTAATGCTATTTTTTCTCAAGCATCTTCTCTATGCTCTTTTCAAGTTCATTTTCATGCTACTAATAACACTGTTTCTAGAGATATATGTAACAACCCCGACCTATGATTATCGTTAATCCATGCTTAATTATGCCTAATAAGTAATTAAAGTGAAATTTTGCATCATCTGTTGCCTTATTTGTATTTATATCTGTTTAATGTAGAAAGATCTGTTCATGTTTTCGTTTCGATTTGCGAATTGAAGGCTTTAACGACATCCGATTCAAAAACTGACTTGATTTTTGTGTTAATTAGAATTTTTTGAATTTTATAGTAGGTTTAATTGAAATTTGATTCAGAACGAATTTATTAGAATAAATCGTACCCATTTGATTAGTGGTAAGCTTAATTAATTAAACTCTCTAACCAACATTTGTCTCATGACACTCAACTTAAACACTCATCCCTTCACCTTAGAACATAAAAAACGTGGGAGAGAGAAGGATAGAAGAAAAATTGAGCTCAAAGCTAGAAAAAATGGAGAATGCTACGAATTGTTGGGGATTTGCAAGAAATTGGGAGTTTAAGGTCTACACTTGTGCAAATTAGACTCTAGGTGAGAATTTTAGTCTTTGACCTTGTAATGTAGTTGATTAATGCATGGAAACAAGTGAATTAGGTGAATTCATATGGGAATTGAGCGTGAATTGAAAAAAGTTAAGTCATTCCATACATGCATGCATATTTCATAGCATTTTGAAGTTGTTTTCAAAGATTTCCTCTCATGCATGTTGTAATTCTAGCATGGTTTGAAGAATTCATAGCATTTCTCACCATTGGACCTCATTTGATCATGTTTTGGAAGTTATGAACTCAAGTGAATATATGCATGTCATGTTCATATCATGTTTTTACATTTCAAGTTAAATTTTGCACAATTGACATGCCTTTGGGCCTTGATTTCATGAAATGATCTTCAAATCATGATATTTTACAAGTTCCTAAATGTTTTCCAAAATTTTGGCCCAAGAAGATGAGTTTTGACGTATGGAATTCGAGTTTGGAGCTTGGAAGTGTAATCTGGAAATTTCAGATTTTGCACTTCCGCTCGAGCGACAAATTTTGCGCTTGAGCGGCCACCTTTGTTTTTGCATATCCGCTTGAGCGATCTTAAGTCCGCTTGAGCGTGAAATGCATGCTCCAAAAAGTTTACATGTTTTGCAGATCGCTCGAGCGACAAGAGTTGAGCTCGAGCGAGGGCATGGGTCTCACGCTTGAGCGAGAGTCGAGCGACCATCGAGCGGAGATTTTACACAACCAGTACTTTTGCAAAGTTTACAGACCGCTCGAGCGGGGGAAGTTGCACTCGAGCGTCCCCTCACATGTTTACATGTCTGCTCAAGCGAGGGAAGTTGCGCTCGAGCGGGACCCCTATTTCAGTAAGTTTTGTTAAATGTGTTCAAGTGCATTTTAGCATCCTCATTGCATCCTAGGCACTCATAGGCCGTGATTAAGACTTAATAAGAGGTTAAGACTTAGAAACACACTAAGAATGAAATGGAAGAAGTTAAACACCAAACGAGTGTGTGTTTCATTATTTGTTTTTGCTATGTATGCGTAGATCATGCGCCTCAAGTTATTTGATTTACCTGTTCTACAAGTGGAGCTATTTGTGAGTAATAACTTAGTAAAGCTATGTTTAACTTTAATTATTTTCTGAATGATATGAATTAAGATCTATTTTATGAAATGTTATATTCTGTGTAATGAATGGCTGTCTAAGTTTCTGAAATGTATTCGTGGCATCCTTAGCACAAGGCCCTAGCCCGAGAGTAATAATACCGTGCCTTTATAACCAAGGCCCATGCCCGGGGGTAATAATACCGTGGTCTCATGACCCTTACTCGGGGGTAACAATACCGTGGTTCAAGCAAGCTACAAGTTTTCCCGATACCGGAGGTTCGCAATGGAACTATCAAGCAAGTTAATGCTAATGGATGTACCATGTCTAACGAAGCATGAACTCTGATTTCCGTATGTAGTTGAACAAGAACATGAATATATCTGTTTCTAATTTGAACTCTAATTTCGGTACTTGTTATGGACATCATTCATTTAAAACCCTTTACTTTGTTATTATTCACTGGGCTCCAGCTCACTATTTATTTTATGTATGTAGGTGAGCAAGCATGTGACTAGACTCAGAGTTGAGGGCCTAGCGTCTTAATTTTTGTTAGCCATCTTTCTGTGCCTCCCGGGAAGGTTCCCTTTCGAGATGTTTAGTTTTGCATCCTTACTATAGATGTTTTTGTTTGGTTGCTTATCTGTACACTGGGCTAAGTCCCCTTTTGGTTTCATTTTTATGATTGGGTGACACATGATTAATGTATTTATGACATTATATATATTTATACAAGCTTGTTATGAAGATTTCCGTCTCATATATGTCAACACAGCTCTATGGACACTGTATATTCTCTATATTTGCTTCCGCAGCCCTTTGCTATATGTTGTTCTATCAAGAGACCTTTGGTAATCCAAGGATTACTAGTCGGTTACGACGCTAAACCTATAGGGGCGGGTTTAAGTCATAACAATATATGGTATAACAGATTAGGTCACCCTTTTCCATTGAAATTTGCTCATTAAAAGAGGAATATTTCTTGTGTATTTTCTACATCTCCTAGTTCTACTTCTTATACTGATTGTTGTGTATCAAAGAGTAATAGATTACCTTTTCACTTGTCCAATCCACTATTAATAAACCATTCTCTTTGATACACAGTGACATTTGAGGTCCATTCAATAAATCTACTTCTGGTTTCAAGTATTATGTGCTTTTTGTGGATGATTTTAGTAGATTTACCTGGCTATATCCTTTAGTTTACAAAAGTGAAGTGTTTGCCAAGTTTTTAGAGTTCAAAACATATGTTGAAAAATAGTTTACTACTTTTTTGCAAGTTTTCCGAACTGATGGTGGAATTGAATATTTCAATAAAAAAATGCATGATTTTTTGGTCACTCATAGCATTGTTCATCAGTTTTCTTGTCCATACACATCTGCTCAAAATGGTGTTGCCGAAAGAAAACACAAACACATTGTGAAAACTATAATAGCTTTAATTCATCATTCATCTCTTTCTTTTCATTATTGGTTTGAGGCTACTGCTACTGCTACTGTTACTTTTCTCATTAATCGGATGACTTCTTCTGCTCACCATAATAAATCTCCTTTTGAGGTGCTTTTTTATTGTGTTCCAAATTATTCATTTTTTAGAGTTTTTGGGTGTCAATGCTTCCCATGGCTTAGGTCTTATGGGTCTTCAAAGTTTTATCCATGATCTCTCTCTTGTGTCTTTTTAGGTTATCACCCCTTTGCTAAAGGGTACTGGTGTCTTGATCCTCATACTAGGAAAGTGCATTTGTCTCGCTATGTTGTTTTCAATGAATTAATTTTTCATTTTTCTTCTCTTTGTTCAAGTTTTTCTGTCACTTCTTTACCATCTTTACACTATTTCTTTTGGTCCAGTTGTGCTCCTCATCCACATAGGTCTTCACAGGTTCTAGTTTTAGCTCCCAGACCATCTCAGTCTTGTTTAGACCATACCTCAGCTCAGAATTCCCAGTCTGCTGCAGTCCCATCTACCTTACTGCCTGAGTTGCAGCCTGATTTGCTACATTTCTCTGTTTTACGGCCTGCATGTGCACCTACATCCTCAACTACACCTGTCTCTGTTGCCCTTACTGCCTCGACTACAGAGACTGTTGCACCTGATGTATTAGTTATACATCTTGCTTCTCAGCTACCATCTCAGCTTACTTCTTTTATGTCTTGTCCTCCTATTCCTATTCAATCCATTTCTCTGTTTTACGGCCTGCATCTGCTGCACCTACATCCTCAACTACACCTGTCTCTGTTGCCCTTACTGCCTCGACTACACAGACTATTGCACTTGATGTATTAGCTATACATCTTGCTTCTCAGCTACCATCTCAGCTTACTTCTTTTATGTCTTGTCTTCATATTCCTATTCAATCCATGACTATTCAATTACCTCACTTACCTCCACCTTCATCTAACCGGCATCATATGATTACTATATCCAAATCCACACCCTCTGCTTCTATTAATGCGGCTTCTCCTGCTTTATACACAAATTCTGAGCCACCAAGCTTGCCCTATTTTCTCCACTTTGGCACAAAGCCATGGCTAAAGAATTTACTACTTTGCACAAACAGAGTACTTGGTCTTTGGTTTCATTACCCTCTAGCAAAAATGCCATAGAATACAAGTGAGTTTTTAAGCCCAAAAGAACTGATGGTTCTATTGGTCGCTATAAAGCCTGATTGGTTGCTAAAGGGTATTTACAAGAAGGGGGTATTGATTTCCAAGAGACTTTCAGTACTGTAGCTAAGCTTCCTACTATTCAAATTTTGCTATGTCTTGTTCTTCATAACCATTGGTCTTTAAAGTAATTGGACATCTCCAATGCCTTTCTTCATGGCAAACTTGAGGACGAGGTATATATGCTTCAACCTCTAGGGTTTGTTAATTCCTCCAATCCTTCAAGTGTGTGCAAGCTCCATAAGGCATTATATGGGCTTAAACAAGCTCCACGTGCATGGTATTCTACTTTTTCTGCTTTTATTCTCTTTCAGGGCTTTCATAACAGTCAGTGTGATACTTCTCTTTTTATTCATAAGACTTCCATTTCCATCACCTATCGTCATGACCCAAACCCGCCTTTATGGGTTTAACATCGTAACCGGCTAGTAATCCATGATTACCAAAGGCCTGCTTAACAGTAATGACAATAGTACAGAGTAATGGGCTGGCGGAAGCCAAACAGTAAATAAAAGATGTCCAATGAGTTGTGAAAATCTGAATGGAAAAAGACTTTTGTGGACATAACCATATCCAACCATATACATATACACATAGCATACGAGTTAGGGACCTAGTCCTTTTACCATAACTATACAATCAAGTCTTAATCAGTCGATACATAACAGAGACAAAAAGGGTGAATCTGAAACACCCCCAAAACAGCCTTGGCTCGAGAAGGCTCGGAACCTCGAAGTGAGGCACAACGGTTGGCTGGACAAAACATGAGTTTAACTTAACGCTTCTAGCTCCGGTCCGGTGCCTGGACACCTACATATAAATATAAACAGTGAGCTAAAGCCCAGTGAATAACAGATGTGTAAAGGGGTTAAGAATGAATGCCCTTTCAGTAATTAAAACAATCAATTGCATCAGTGGATTAGTTATTCAAACAGTGTCTCATATTTTACGTTATGTCTGAAACACCCCCAAAACAGCATTGGCTCGAGAAGGCTCGGAACCTCGAAGTGAGGCACAACGGTTGGCTGGACAAAACATGAGTTTAACTTAACGCTTCTAGCTCCGGTCTGGTGCCTGGACACCTACATATAAATATAAACAGTGAGCTAAAGCCCAGTGAATAACAGATGTGTAAAGGGGTTAAGAATGAATGCCCTTTCAGTAATTAAAACAATCAATTGCATCAGTGGATTAGTTATTCAAACAGTGTCTCATATTTTACGTTATGTCAGTCATTTAGAAACCATAACAGTCATATGTGGTACATCCAATAGCAGAACAATACAGTAGGTCTTAATAGATCGAACAGTCAGATGATGGCCATCGAAACAGTAAACAGTATTGGTTCCAAACATTGGAACTAACAGAGATTTTTGTAGCAGTAGTAGTAGCAGTAGCTGTACAGTAGCAGTAATAGTAATAGTAATAGTAATAGTAACAGTACAGTGACAGTAACAGTAACAGTATAGTAGCAACAACAGTAACGGTAACAGTACAGTAACAGTAAGTTGTTATGGATGCCACGAGTACAGTTCATAAAATAGGACAAACATTCATTCAGTAAACAATATCATTTCAGGAAGCAGTACAATTAATCATTTAGAAAATAATAGTAATAATTGAACATAACTTTACAACATTGCTACTCACAGTGGGTTAAGTCGATATAAGGCCTCAGATGCCCACCTATATAAATCACATAACAAAAACACAATAGAAGCACCGTTCAATATTCATTTCATTTTAATTCAACTCTCTTTGCGTGTTTCTAGTTTATTCCATGATTATGTGAGTCCAATTGATGCTTAAGAATACTTAAAATGTCATAAGGATGCAATTACGCATTTAAAAGAGTTAGTCAAAAATTGCTGAAGATAGGATCCTCACTCAAGCGCCACTTTAGTCGCTCAAGCGGACCGTAAAATTTTGAAACATTTCTGGGAGTTCGATTTTCACGCTCGAGCGAGACTTTCCTCGCTCGAGCGAACAACATAAATTCTGAAATTTCCAGAATTGTAATTGAAGTTCAAATTTGATATTCAAGGCCTCAAAACTTGTATCTTTGGTACAAAAACATGGAGAACCATTATATAATTCAGTAAACACTCTCAATTAAGAATCATTCATTCAAAATCATGCTCCAATTGCCCAAATTTAGTCTTAACTCATTTTCTCCATATCAAACCCATAAATTTTTAAAATATGAATTAAACTTCCAAAATCCTTGCAAATTCATGATGCATGTACAATTGAAACTCAATTTCATGCAAGACAAATAAATTCAAATCCAAAATGGTTATTTCTAAATTAACTCCAATAATTTTGAATCTAATTCAATTTCTTCACCCTTTTACTAATCCCTTTTTAATTTACATGAAATGGAGTTACATGACCCTTAGGAAAGTATTTGCATGTATGAAATTAAGATTAAAACTAACTAATTTTTCTATATTCAAAATCAAATCATAATTTAATTCTTGATTTATCCAAATTTAGATTTAATTAATTTTCTTCATAACACACCCAAAACTTAATTCATAATCATAGATGTTCCATAACATATTTAAATTTTGAATAAAACTCTTTCATTATATTACATGCATGGGTTAGAGATCAAAACCAAATCAATGTCTAATTTTCCATCAACATGAGCCTAGCTTAATTTTCTTCATATCTATTCCAAATTTAAACTTATAAGTCTTTCACACATGAATTTAAGTCTAAAACATTAAAATTCCAACATGCATGTAGAAATAAGGCCCAAATTCAAGTGAGATATTCAACATCAAACCAAAATAATCAATTTCCATGTTTATTTCCATAACTATGAATCCTAGCTTTATTTCCTTATTCAAACCCATTTCCTTACAAATTTCATGGAATTGATCTTAAACTCTTATTAATTTCAAGTGTAATGTAGAGATTCTACAAAAATTAAGTTTGATTCCATACCTTAAACTTTAATCTCAAAGAGTTTAGTTGATTCCCTTCTAATTCCCTCGTTCCTCCTAGCTTTTCTTCTCTTATTTTTCCTTCTTCTTGAGCTGAAATTGCTTCCTTCCCCCCCTCTCTCTCTCACGGGTTTGCGGAGAACAAAAATGAAGCCATACCTTTTTTTTGCGGAGAACAAAAATGAAGCCATACCTTTTTTTTGTTCTCAATCTCTTTTCAATACAAGAACTCATATATTAATATATTTATATATATATCATGTGCTGCCTTCACATTACACGTACATACACACACACACACACACACACACACACACACATACAAATCACAACCAGATTTCTCAGTACACCCACCTAAATTTCTAAGTGCACCCACACCCACAATTCTAGTTTGTTCCTTAAGGCAATTTATGCTTAGGATAAATTTTAATTAAGCAACACTTCGTCTTAATAAATCGTGGTTAATACGTAATTAATTAATCATAACTAATCACAAATCCCACATAATTTAATTAGTCTAATTTAACTTCCATTAAGGCCCAACTAATTTTATTTAATTTTATCATTCTGAATCAGATTTTTAGTCAGACTTCTAAAAGACTCCAAATATTAAATTAAACTTATTTTCATCTTCAATACCAGTTCCTTAAATCATTAAGGCCTTCAATTTCTGACCAGACTCCAAATTTCCGTCAAGTTACATATTCAAATTGGACACCCCATAAATAAATTTAATTCGTAATAATCACAATTCTCAATCTTGATAATTTAATTGACTTGATTAACTCCAATTAAGATCTAATTAATCGAATCTCAATTTCACTAAACTGAATCGAAAATTTAATTAAACTCCCAAATGAGTCTGTAATTAAGATTAAATTGATTCAACTTCTTAACTTCACTTCCTTAAGCCACTTGGACCCTTAATTTCTAATTTCAAAATGAATTTTTAATAAAATCATATACAAATCAAACTCCATAATTTTCGTGAATCCCATATTAAATTATAACAAATGGCAATTAAATTTCAAATCTCTTTAATTAATTAAGTTCTAATCATTATACGTGGTGGAGCCGTTACACCTATCTTGTGATTTATGTGGATGATATTTTGTTGACTGGTAGTGATCTATCTTTTCTTTAGTCCTTAATTCATCAAATGCCCTTAGCATATTTCATGAAAGAGTTGGGTAATCTCTCATATTTTCTTGGCATATTGATGCAAACATCTGGGTCTTCCTATTTTCTTTCTCAACAAAAGTATGCTCAAGAAATTATTCATAAGGCTAGTCTCACTGACAAAAAATAATTTCTTGAACATACTTTTGTTGAGAAAGAAAATAGGGAATCCCAGATGTTTACACGGATATGCCAAGAAAATATGAGAGATTACCCAACTCTTTCATGAAAAATGCTTAGTGCATTTGATGAATTAAGGACTAAAGAAAAGATGGATCACTACCAGTCAACAGAATATCATCTACATAAACCACAAAATAGGTGATGGAAGTGGAAATCTTATGAATAAAAAGAGACGTATCACAGTGACTGTTATGAAAACCTTGAAAAAGAAAAAACACAGAAAAAGTAGAATACCATGCACGGCGAGCTTGTTTAAGCCTATATAATGCCTTTATGGAGCTTGCACACACCTGAAGGTTTGGAGAAATCAACAAACCCTGGAGGTTGAAGAATATATACCTCTTCCTCAAGTTTTCCATAAAGAAAGGCATTGGAGATGTCCAACTACTTTAAAGACCAATAGCGATGAAGAGCAAGACATAGCAAAATCAGAATAGTTGGAAGCTTAGCTACGGGACTGAAACTAAAAGTCTCTTGGAAATCAATACCCTCTTCTTGTAAATACCCTTTAGCAACCAATCGAGCTTTATAGTGATCAATAGAACCATTAGAATTTCTTTTAAGCTTAAAAATCCACTTACATCCTATTGCATTTTTGCCAGGGGGTAATGAAACCAAAGACCGAGTACTCTGTTTGTGCAAAGTAGTAAATTCTTTAGCCATGGCTTTGTGCTAAAGTGAAGGAGACAGGGCAAACTTGCAGTTAGGTGGCTTAGAATCTGTGTATAAAGCAGGAAAAACCACATTAATAGAGGCAGATGATGTAGATTTGGATCTGGTAATCAAATGATTCGGTTAGATGAACGTAGGGGTAAATGAGGTGATTGAATAGTAATGGATTGAATAGGAATAAGAGGACAAGACATAATAGAAGTAGGCTGATATGGTAGCTGAGAAGCAAGATGTGTAGCTAAAACATCAGGTGCAACAGTTTGTGTAGCCAATGTAGTAGGGGCAATAGAGGCAAGTGTACTTAAGGATGTAGGTGCAACAATGCAGGCCGCAAAATAGAGGAATGCAACAAATCAGGCTGCAGTTCAGGTAGTGAGGCTGATAGGACTGCAGCAGACAGGGAATTCTGAGCTGAGGCATGGTCTGAACATGACTGAGATGGTCTGGGGGCTAAAACTAGAACTTGTGAAGACATAGGTGGAGGAGGAGCACAACTAGACCAAAAGAAAAGAGTGTAGAGATGGTAAAGAAGTGACAGAAGAACTACAAGAAAGAGAATTAAAAGGAAAAATTGATTCGTTGAAAACAACAGAGCGAGACAAATAAACTTTCCCAGTGCGAGGATCAAAACACTGGTACCCCTTAGCAAATGGGTGATAACCTAAAAAGACATAAGAGAGATCGAGGATGAAACTTTGAAGACCCATAAGACCTAAGCCATGGGAAGCATTGACACCCAAAAATTCTAAAAAATGAATAATTTGGAACACAATAAAAAAACACCTCAAAAGGAGATTTATTATGAAGAACAGAAGAAGGCGTCCGATTAATGAGAAAAGTAACAGTAGCAATAGCCTCAAACCAATAATGAAGAGGAAGAGATAAATGATGAATTAAAGTTATTATAGTTTCCATAATGTGTTTGTGTTTTCTTTCGGCAACACCATTTTGAGCAGATGTGTATGGACAAGAAAACTGATGAACAATGCCATGAGTGACCAAAAAATCATGCATTTTCTTACTGAAATATTCAGTCCCACCATCAGTTCGAAAAACTTGCAAAATAAGTAGTAAACTGTTTTTCAACATATTTTTTGAACTCTAAAAACTTGGCAAAAACTTCACTTTTGTAGACTAAATGATATAACCAGGTAAATCTATTAAAATCATCCACAAAAGCACATAATACTTGAAACTAGAAGTAGATTTATTGAACAGACCCCAAATGTCACTGTGTATAAAAAGAAATCGTTTATTAACAGTGGAATTGGACAAGTGAAAAGGTAATCTATGACTCTTTGATACACAACAATCAGTACAAGTAGAACTAGGAAATGTAGAAAATACACAAGAAATATTTCTCTTTTGATGAGAAAATTTCTGTGTAGAAGGGTGACCCAATCTCTTATGCCATATATCTGCAGAAACAGTTTTATTAGTAGCATGAAGTGAACTTGAGATGCACATGGAGAAGATGCTAGCGAAGAAACAACATTAGCAGATGAATGAAAATGGTAAAGACCATTAGTATTAGTATCCTTGTGAAGAATTTTCTTCGAGTACTTGTCTTGAATCACAAAGTGAGAAGAATCAAATATGATAATACAATTATCATCTTTAGCTAATTGATGAACTGAAAGCGGATTAGAAGGAATAAAAGAAGAGTGTAAAATCTTGTTGAAAGAAATGGCAAAAGTAGGAGTAGGAATTATGCCCTTACTAGTATGTTGAATAGAAATTTGTTAACCATTGCCTATAGTGATCTATTTTGAACCAGGATATGGCTGAAACACACTCAAAATTCTGGAGATCATTAGTAATATGATCTGTAGTAGCGGAGTCCAAATACTAAGGAGTGGAAGAAGAAGAAGGTTGGGAAGAAGAAGATGAAGCCACAAATGCCCTAGAATTTTGAGAAGAAGAGTGAGTAGAAGAAGATTGTGGCTGAAATTGTGAATCCATTCGAAACCAACAATCGAATGCGACATGTCCAGAAACACCACAAATTTGGCTAATTAGGCCAGATTGACCTTTTCTCTTTGAAAAAAATCTTTTATGTCCGTGACTTTGAGTAGAAAATCTACCTCCTCTGCCACGATTCTAATATGAAGTTCATCTTCAGTAATTAGGGGAATGACCTCTAGAATAGCTAAAGTTAGAAGATGATGAAGTTGAACCTCGTGTAACAGAGAATGCAACATTAGGATGTTCAGTCGGATTGGATTTCTTGTTTTTCATCTCGACATGATTAGCCTTTGAGCAAAGAAGAGAACATAATTCCTTTATTGAGATGGACTTAGATCAAGCTCTAATTATAGTCTTGAAAGAGTCAGATTCTTCAGGGAGACCATTGAGTGTGATTAACACCAAATCTTCATCTTCAATTACTGTAGATGCAAGAGCTAATTGAGTAGCCAAATCTTTAATCTTCATCAAATACTCATCCATAGATTCAACTTTTTGATCACATTTTTCAACTTATTTTTAAGTTGACGAATGTGTGATCGTGAAAGTGTTATAAATTGCTTGATTAAAGCATTCCGAACATTAGCACAATGTTGATGATGAAGAACAGTGGAGTAGATCAGTGGAGATAAAGTTGTTGTAATGTAACTAAGCAAGTGTGCATCGATTACCTCCCACTGCACTCGATCTAGATTAACAATCTCAGAAACAGATGAATCTTTGATCTTTATTGGTGGACAAGCCCTAGAACCATCAACATAGCCAAGAAGTTACGTGGCTCGTAAATTGTTCTAGAATTGACTTTTCCAGATCAAGAAATTGGATGAATCCAATTTGATTGTCACAAAATATGATAAATTCGAGATGAGCAAAGCTAAATTGGAGGGAATGGAGGAAGAAGATGAAGATGAAGATGAAGATGGAGAAGAAAAAGTCATGGCAAAAGAGGAAGCCATGAAATCAGTCTCGTTAATGCTCATTTGCTCTGATACCATGTGGAAAAATAAAGAGTGATCTTCATTAATTCAATATTGAAGAATACACCTTATATACAATCTGGTGGGTTTGCTATAACAAACACCTATCTCTAACCCCACTTTCTCTCTCTAACCACTTGCATATATACAAATATCTCTAACTATTTCTCAATTGTCACTCTACGCGTGCTACTGTCATCCTCATAACCATTGGTAGATTTTGCTCTGATGATGCCACCTGGACTAGTATCTCTATCAAGCTTCATTCTCGACTATGTTTGCAAAGGTCAAAAGGTCAAAAGCAACCATGAAAAAACCCTCCCACTCTTAGGGTTATTTGTGATGTTTTAAATAAATATATTTTTTAATTTTTTATGAAATATGAGTTGGGTATAGATTAAGGTCAAGTTTGGTTAAACTAAAAAAGTGCACTTATTTTATTTTTTTATCTTTTTTGGGTCACATCAATTAATATATTCTCTCTACTTTTTCTACACATAATACAAGAAAAGTTAAAAAGTACACTTATTTAGTCTTCCCAAACTAGGCCTAAGTTTGAAGTGAAGTGATAGAGAGGTGATGTGACTTAAATAAGATGATGTGACTTAAACCTGGTTTGGCATGTCTTGAAAAAGATAAAAAGTCAAAAAGTTACTTAAAAAGCTAAAAGGCTATCACTATTCACAAAAAAAAAAAATACAAAAAAAATAAATTTATACATAAAAAAATACAATTCAACTTTTTGCTGAAGTGATGGGCTATCCGCGTGATTAGTCTGATGTACTGGTCTAGAAATGATTGCCTCATTCGCGGGCAACTATTTAAACTCTGTTGTTCAGCCCGTGGCAGCCAGCAGGGGTCATATTTTGATAATTTGAACCGTTCAATATGTAGAACTCGTTGAGTACTATATTCTTGTAAAAAATCACATTGATCGGATATCGTTAACTATATGATCAAATCAGTTTTGTATAAAAAAAATGATGGTGTTATATTTAACTGGTGAGCAAAAACTAATCCGATCAATGTGATTTCGATATCCGATCAATGTGATTTTTTATAAGTATATAGTACTCGACGAGTTCTACATCTTGTACGATTCAGATTATCAAAATGAGACTTGTGGTGGGCCCCACGGGCCGAACAACACAATTGAAATGGTTGCCCGCGAATGAGGCAATCATGTCCTTATCTCCTACACTCTGTCCAGAAAAAGGTGACGTACAACTTATTACACTTACTTCTCCTATACACTAATTTATACAATTTTTTATTACACATTTTTTCCGTAAAAAGACAAAAAGTTAACTAAAACATTCATCTTTTTTTCCTCAATTTTTTTGTCCAAAAAAATAAAAAGTGTACTTATTTAGAACATTCTAAATAACCTCTTAAATAAGATAATGATTTTTTGACTTTTTAATATTTTTAGAAGATGACGAACAAGGCCTTAGTTTGTCCATCACTCCCAATCAAAAAAATATGAGAGACTTTAGGTATGGAGAAAATAAAGTCTGGACTTTACACAATACACTTGTAAGAGGGACTTTTTACTGAGCAAGGATCCTCTAGAGTGATTTTTTCCTAAAGTTTCCTAGAGTGTTACATTGTGTGGTTGAAATTTACTGGCAAGTCACATCAATTTTTCTGATGTGACTTGCCAGTAAATCTCAGCAGGAAAAAAATTGACGGTTTTACGTTGGACAAAAAATGGCAATAAAGTGATCAAAGCAGAGATGTTGACATGCTAAAGTCTTTTTGATTTTTGGTGGTCATGCTTAGTTAGGGGAGCACCTGGGGGTATGTATAGGCACTTTTGGGCGTAGGTTATTGGATTTAATTTTTTTCTCCCTTTCTTATCTCTCTTTCTTTAATTTTAAAAATTTGTGTCAAATTATTTAGTGTATATTTTGTTTATAGTTTAGAGACAAAAATGGCCTACGTAAGCCTAAAAAATATTTTTAAAAGTTGAGGGAGGGTGCTTTTAACTTATATTTTCTAATTATCAACTTTTAATTATATGAGAAAAGTTGCACCAAATTAACCCATAATTAATGTTCTTTGAAATAGCTAAATAAATTAATAAGTAAGTTGTTAATTGTTGAGAATATAAATAATAAAATTGTCACTCTCCCTCTGCAAGTTTAAGCTTTTAGATGAGTTTGTAATCAACAATTCAACATAAAATCTTGATAGGGTGTATTGAGAATATAAATAATAAAATTGTCCATATCTCTAACTTCTTAGATGAGTTGGTACTCAACAAATCAATATAAAACATGAAATCAAAATTAATACAATTACATATTAAATGCCATTAAATAATTTTCTAAGATGAGATTTATAAACACATAAAAACCAGCCAAATTAAAAAATAAATGAATAATTTTGATTTTGGCAAATACTAGAGGGTATGTTGGACATTATTTAATGTTGAAATTTGAGAGAAAAATACTTTAGAAATAGGTGAACAAGATTGAAAGAATTTTGATTTTAGTGACAAGTGTTTTGAAACATATAACAAATGTCCGGTGTTTTTTAATTTTTTGGTATTTTCTTGTTCCCAACTCGAAGACATTTGTTAGCAACATCCTTCTATTTTTGTTAAAAATCCAATAGATGGATCACTTAAGTCACACTGGTGTATCAGGCTCCTCAAGCATATCTTCTTCCTCTACAAAAGAGTGCAAGTTGGCAGTGGGATCATATTGTTGAACTACTAATATTGATGCAGTGGTGGAGAAGTCAGAGGATGCTAAAAAGCTCCCAACTGGCCCCAGTTCTGGGCAATCACTTTTGTCTATTAGTGGCACAATTGGAGGCATCCTACCGACTAGGAAGAGATTGGACTTACTCATTGACTTCAAAGCTGCAATAATATCCGCCTTACTTCCTACAACTTTTTCCTCAAATGATATTGCTGTTGATTGATCATTCTTCTGAGTTTGAGTCACGCACTTAGTCATGAATGCCTCGTCATTGTCATCGTCGTCACCATTCCCAACGTCTTTCATTTCAACCACGATAGCACCAGTATCAGTACCAGCACCTGCACCTACACCTCCACCTCCACTCTCGGTCATGATCATCATTAATGACTTACCCGGTGGGGCCACGAACTTTATGACCGTAAGCACGATCCCCGGGTGCTCAGCCATCCTAAGCCCATACGCTAGCGCCTCACGATCATCTCGTCCGCCAAAAAAAGGCACCACCATAGTGTATGACACATCGCTAGCGAAGACTTGAGCGGTGCCACCGAGACCCCTATCGATAAGAATTCCTACCGAGCAAGGCGCATGACGAAGGACTTGCTGGTTCACCACATGGATCTCGTGTCCAAGTGACTCCATCACCCCATTCATCCGCTGGTGCTTGTGGAAGGGGAGTACAATCATGGCAACACGCTTTTGTTGTGCACTTGTGCAAATGTCTTCATGAATAGTGTGTAGAGCAGATATTGCAGTCATCGGGCGCACAATAACGCTGCTAAGCTGTTGATAGGCCTCGAATGCAATGACCATTTGATCATTATCATCGCGTTTCTTGTTCCAAAAGGGAAGACCATTCTTACGTGCTTTATGGACCATTGAGATGGCTGAAGATCTTTCTGATAGCTCCATCAGGTGCATGGCATATACACAGAGGCGTCCTCGGTGTCGAGTACCGCGGGAAGATTCAATGAGATTTATCATAGTGGGGATGTTTCGGGTGCTGTGGAAGCAGGCCAATATCCGAAGCTCTGTGCCAAGGTCTTTCCGTTTAACTGTTCGGTGCTTGTAGGGTGCTGCTTTTCTAGCCGGCTTATATATGGCCATCACAATTGGGGTGGTAATGAAAGTGGTAAATAATGCCATCAGAACTAAGATAGCAAAAGCCTGGTCGTTCAATACCTATAACATTGCAGTATCAAAAATTATAAAGTCAGCCCTCCACAACGAGTTAGGATAAAAAACATACGGCAAATCACATGGATAGTGCTATTTTTTTCCTCTCGTGTCATTTGGATATTTATACTTTCAATTGGCTTTTTAACCCTTAATTTTACGTTTTGTGTCAATTTAGTTCAATTAATAATGTTGTTACTATTTTTAACAAAAAATTATCACTGAATTGGTTGAGGTTACCTTACTGGATTGAGCAAACTTATAATTTTGTCCCTAAAAGTATGACATATACTACTTATGTACATATTTTTCATTAAAAATGCTAATAATTATAATCAATTAGACTAAATTGAGATAAATCATAAATTTAAGGTCAAAATTGAGCCAATTAAAATTATAGGTATCAAAATGACACCAAGGGCCTCTAACTTAGTTGGCTAACCCTTTGGCCACCAAGTCTCTCTTAAGAGAGAGATATTGGGTTCCATTCTAAAGAGTGAAATGAGAGGATAAGATTTTCTTGCAAGGGGTATAGGTGTAAGTTTTAATTCTCCCGAGGTGCTAACTTAACAACTAACTCACAAACCAAAATATAAGGACTACTGGTGTAATTCATTGGGGGTGCTTGGAAAGAGAATTAGGCTAAAATAGCCTACTATAGGCTAAAATAGTCAATAAAGCAAAATGTTATATTCAACTCATAATCATTTTATTTGTTCTCTCATAACCATCAAATTAACTACAAAAAAAAGTCACTCAACTTTCCAAACACAACTATTTTAGTCAGATTAAGGTTTCGTTTAGGATGTGACTATTAGCCTATGGTTAAAAAGTTTCGTTTGGGATGAGTTTTTGATTTTGATTTTTATTTTTGTGAAAGAAAAAATGAAATGATTATGATTTGTATGTGATATTTTGTTTTATTGACTTTTTAGTCTATTTTGTCTTTTTGTAACTATTTTAGTCTTTTAGTCCCAAAATTCTTTCAATAATGCTAGGTATCATGAAAGACATATCATGAAAAGTCTTCATGAAAATTCTCCACCGTTGGATTAGTTTATAGTGTTTGTAATGCTTTATTGTATGTTATGCAATCACCTTTGAATTAGTTTCATGATAATTTTTATGCCAAACGAGGGCTAAAATAACCAATTAAAATAGCCAACTTTCTAAAGAAGGTCATTATATTAAACACTCAGATTTTCATTCTTTTTTAGACCATTAATTTGGCTATCAAATTTTGGATGCCAAAATTGAGACTTTCTACCAAAATTAAAAATAAAATGTCTCACTATGTATTGGTACCATATTACGTCATCGTTGCATCCATTTGTTCCATTTATTTTTGTCTCAAACATGGTGCATTGCATAAAGAAAAATAAAAAGAGAGGAAGGGCCAGAGAAGCCTCCAGGCTGTAGGTACCTTTCTGTCCTTGCCAATGTTGAGGACAATTAACTCAACCAACCCTTTAGTGTTCATGAGGAATCCAAGTGTCAAGGCCTCTCTGAATTGCATCTTAAGTAATAAAGATACCACCATTGTCCCTACAATCTTCCCAAAACAAGCATTAAATATAACAAGAACAAGCAAGGCCCAAGACAGAGCTCCACTTATGGTGGCAACGTTGGTCTTTAGCCCACTTGATACGAAGTAGAGGGGGAGAAAAATGCCAGACACGAGATCCTCGATCTTCTCTATCAAAATTCCGGCGAAGGGACCTTCTTTGGGAACTATTAAACCGACAACGAAAGCGCCAAAAAGTGCATGGATTCCAATAGTATCAGTGATAAAACCCGCAGCCAACACAAGAGACAATGTGATGCATATGTATAGCTCTTTCACCGGTTCACCCTCAGGGGAGCGTCGAGCCATGAATGTCAATCCCGGTCTAATCACAAAAATGGCAAAGGCCACAAATGCAAGACCACAGACTAAGACCCATACGGATATAAGTGGAGAAGTATTGCCAGAGAGTGCTATAGCGAGTGCGAGAAGAATCCAGGCAACAACATCATTGACTGCAGCTGCCGACATAGCCATGCGACCTACATCAGTGGTGAGAAGCTTGAGCTCTGCTAGAATGCGAGCGAGGACCGGGAATGCTGTGATGGAAAGGGATACACCCATGAAGACAAGGAAAGGTACGTGATTAACTCCTTTTGATATGGTGGCACTTAGAACAAGTGATGTACCAATGCCAAGAATAAAAGGGAAGCTGATTCCAACAAGGGCGATGCCAAGGGCCTTGCCGCCCGTTCGACGAATGGCACGCATGTCCAACTCAAGTCCTACTAGAAACAAGAAGAATAGAAGGCCAAAGTTGGCAAGGGTGTCTAGAACAGTTAGGCTTCTAGCCGGGAAAATGGTGTTTAGGAATTTTTCATTTCGTCCAAATGCAGATGGCCCCAGTAGTATGCCTCCCTGCACCCATCATTGTCAAATTCATTATTCTTTTCTTTAAATTCTCAGTAGTTTGACCCTCAAACAAATAAACTATCAACTTTCCCTTAATCAATCGCAATTTTCCCCCTAATTTTTGAGTAAATTAGTCTTTGTATCATTTTGATCCATATAATTTCAATTAGTTCAATTTTAATCCTGAATTTATGGTTTTGTCTCAATTTCGCTCAATTGTTTACAATTGTTAGTATTTTTTAATAAAAAATATGCATATAAGTGACATATATCATGTTTTTAGGAGCAACATTATAGATTTACTCAACTCAATGAGTTAACTTTAAGCAATTTAGTAATAATTTTTGGTCAAAAATGCTAATTGCATTATCAATTGAACCAAATTGATATAAAATCTATAATTAAAGGTCAAAACAGAGTCAATTGAAAGCGTAGAGATTAAAATGATATAAGAGCCAAAATATGAGGACACAAATGTAATTTTCTCCTTTTTTTTATTTTTTTTATTGCATTCAAATTATGCTAGGCTAACAAGTCTTACATTAAAATCAAGCGATGCCTTTAAAAAAAAGGCTACGAATTTAGTTTTAGTTTTCATTTTTAATGAATCATTTTTTAGGGTCTTTAATTTAAAAGAATCTAAATTTTTTTTAAAAAAAATTAGAAGTTAATATTTTTTTCCACTAAATACAATAAAAAAGCCAACAAAAATTTTCTAAAAACATTTGTCAAACATCCACTTGAGTGATTATATGACGTTTACTTTCTTTCTTGAACTTCTTTTTATGTTTTGTATAACAAAAAATTTATGAGAAATTTTATTATACACACTTCTAAAAAGAGTTTACACACCTTTTGAAAGAGTATATTATATGTATTTTTAGTAATGTCATTTTTAACAATTTTTTTTTTAATTATTACTGATAAAATCTTTTGTTATGTCTCGTATGATGTTTGGTTATAATATTTTTTTTATTTTAATTATGATTCAGAAAGTATATAATTATATTATTTTCTTCTTTAGTTATAAGGTATATATGGTACATACCTTTTGAAAGGTGTATATTATAGTCTTTCCCAAAATTTATGCAATATCTTTTCTAAAATGTAATGTGGCAATTTTGGGTCCTAATATTTTTTTTAAACAAGGGCTTATCAATGATACTTAAATTTTTAAGAAAGCCATTGCCTCATTTATAATTTTTTTTGTTTGTGGATCATTTTCCTTGCTTCAATTTTCCGGTTCAGCTACAATTGACAAAAGATTTGAGGCAAGGAAGAGGGAGCAACTTAAGATAGTATTACTTACAATAATCTCTGCGATGACTCTTGGTTGTCTGAGGGGCTTTAGAATGAAAGCAAGCGATCTTGTGAAAGCAACAACTACACATATCTGTAGGATTGCTAGTGGAAGTGCATAATCCAATGGATTTTCACCTTGGAATGCTCCATTTGATGTTGCCTTCATTGGCTTTGGGTAAGTTGTTACATTTGTCGATGCCATTGTTGAGCAGTACCATAGAACCTCCACTCTAAAACGTTGAAAAAACAAAAAAATCAAATAAAATGATATGAAAAGAAGCAAACAGGAAGAGTAACAGTTGCTATATATGTTCTCCAAGTCTCGTCTAGGCCATAGACAAGTTGGACAAAGACAATATAAAGCCTTGCATGTGACTTGCGAGAGAAAACCAGCATGCCCTTTTCTCTTGAACAAGCTTTAACTTAAATGGTTTAAACTAAATAAAGAAAGGTAAAATGACAATTTGGATGTTACTAATTATAGGGAGATTTACAAGTGGAATGAGCGTCAAAATGAGAATTATTAGGGATTGAAACAAAGACTTGCAACGTGTTTATTTGCTATCATGGTGAGAGTGCGCTCCTAATGGTTCGTTATGCATTCCATTCCAAGCGTGGCCACGATTTTGCTGCTGTCAAGAATAGTCTTGTTGCACTGGTCAATAATGTGTATGAATGGAGAAAGAAGTAGACCTGAAGTGTTGCGAAAGATTGGGATGGAAAACGAAATGGAATGTATTAGAATTTTAAGAGGGATTGGTTTTCCTCTTGCAATAAAGAATAAGGACTTAAAAGTGCAATTAGGCAATCAATAAAGGTACATAGGTGAAAATGGGTACGGTTACATCTAGCAACAAAAACATTAATTTTTAAGAAACAGTTTGCCTCGGGTCTCTAATCGGATCGGACAGTGCTGTTCAACTTATGAAGGCCTACTACAGGTCCCGTTTTGATAATTAAAATCGTTCAATGTATAGAACTCGTCCAGTACTATATGTTTGTAAGAAAATCACGTTAATCGGATATCGATAGTTATGTGATCAAATCAGCTTTATATTTAAAAAAAAAATAGACGGTGAACAAATTAACGATTGATAAAAAACTGATAAGATGAGATAGTTATCGATATACGATCAATGTGATTTTTTATAGACATATAATATTTTACGAGTTCTACACATTGAACAGTTCAGATTATCAAAACGAGACCTGTGGTGGGCCCCCACAGGCCGAATAACGACATCCAGTCTGATTAAAGACTGGAGGCAAGTTACTCCCAATTTTTAAGGGTTAATCTTTCACAAGATCCTCTAAATACATTTAGGCACCCGTATTTCATATATATCTTTAATACCATTATACCATTAAATCAAATTACTAAAACGACAAGATCTAAAATCTTAAAACCCTACTCATTTTAGCTTCAATTGCTGCTGCTGTGATCTCTAACAACCACTTCAACCCCTTCTTGCTCCCCCGTCAACCCCTCATTCTCCACACCTTTGATAATCGCACCAACTCTTTCCTATCCTCCACAATTGCCACCTTCACAGAGACACCACCGTGACCTAAATCCCTTCTCAATGCCACCAACGCAACCCAACCTTATTCTTCTTTTTCTTCTCCTACTCCTCTTCCTCTTTCTTCTTTCTTATGCCTTAGATTTGAGAATCTCAAAGTTTTTGTCTCTTTCTCTCTCAATAATATCAATAACGGCGAGGGTCTAATACAATTGGGATTTTAGGAACATTGATGCAACATGAAACATGAAATAAATAAAGTAAAATAACAATCTTAGAGTCCATTGATTCAAGATTGAATACCATAAACTAAAATCTTTCTCTAAATCCGTTGATTCACAAAAAGTACCGTAAGTAAAGACTCAACAATGATTAACTCCCAAAAGAATAAACAACAAAATAGTATAAACTCAAATTATATTAATCTTAAAAAGCTATTTAGCCCTTAGGCTTACAATTATTATTATAATGAAACCTAATTCTTGAAGAACAATAAATTGACAAAATGGGAAATTAAATCTTAACTAATAAAATAGAAAAATTAAATCATTTCAAACTAGAAAACTAAATAATTATACAATATTCTATACTATACTAGAATATTTTATTGGATATATGTTGGTTTGTATCGTTAACCGATTGACTCATCTACAATTTTGGTTCTCAATGGTATGTTGTGCAGTAGCCAACTTGATGTGCCAATTTTCGATATGAAGTTTTTAAACCCTTGATGTACTTTGCTTTTAAGTTAATTTTTTAGGTAATAGGACCAAGATAACACTACAAAAAAAATTGTTTTTTGCGACGGCAAAACGCCGTCGCAAATGCTCCGAACGCCGTCTCAAAAGCTTTTTGCGACGGTAAAATATCTTTTTGCGACGGCAAGTGGGGGTCGCAACAAAGAGGGTTGCAAAAGGGCTTTAGCGACGGCAAGTGCCGTTGCCATTGTTTTAGCGACTGGAAAATTTCTTTTTTGCGACGGCAAATTTCTGTCGCCAATAATGGATGGAAATCTGGGTTTTTTTTTGCGATGGCACAGTCTTGCTGTCGGTAAAAGAGGTTTTTGCGACTGCAAAAATCACGTCGCTAAAAAGTGTCGTCGCTGTTGACTATAGTCGACAGCAACCTGAGCCGTCACTAATGACTGTTCTCGATGGCAATTATACTGTCGCTAAAGCCTTGTTTTTCTATTAAATTCCATACCTTTTGTGACAGTATGGGTGCCGTCGCAAAAAGCCTGGTATAATTTCTTTTTTGCGACGGGGTGTTCTGCCGTCTCAAAAAAATTTTTTAAAAAAAAACCCTGTTTTAAAATTATTAAAAATATAAAAATCAACTGTATTAAATGAAAAATAACTAAAAAAAAATCTAAAAATTACATAATAATATAAAAACATACATAAACAAAAGTTGACAAATGATGAAAATTTATAATGTTGTTCCATTCATAACAATATATAAATAAAAATTCATAACAATAAAAATTATGCCACTACATAATGTCACATAATACATACATAATGTTGTTCACAAATTTAAATAACATAAATCAAAATCAAAACCAAAAGTTTTCGTCTTGATTCTTTCGTGGGTTACAAAAACAGAAGTTGGTCATAATCTTTACACGCCCGCATTCCACAAGAAGCAAACTGCTACTCAGGAAATATCTGAAAAAAACAAAATAAAAATAATTAATAACAATATAATGGTGTTAATATTTTAATTACAAAAAAATATAAAAAAATTAACTACTATATAATTAGAAAGATAGTTTAGTAAATAATTTTGACTAGACCGAGATCCGACTCTAACTCCCAAACCAGGAACCCAATTCGAGCCCCGTCTTCTCCCACAAGTCTATCGTGCCTAGGCGGTCGTGTGTGCCAAGTTTCGTGCTAAACCGATGTCGTTTGGTGATTTTGGGGCATTAACACCTCGAATTCAAATTTCTTAAGGAACTAGTTTGCCTAAAGTGAAATCCGACTCTAACTCCCAAACGGGGAACCCGATTCGAGCCCCGTCTTCTGCCACAAGTCTCTCATGCCTAGGCGGTCGTGTGTGCCAAGTTTCGTGCTAAACCGACGCCGATTGGTGAATTTGGGGCATTAACACCTCGAATTTAAGTTTCTTAAGGAACTAGTTTGCCTAAAGTGAAATCCGACTCTGACTCCCAAACCGGAAACCCAATTCAAGCCCCGTCTTCTCCCACAAGTCTCTCGTGCCTAGGCGGTCATGTGTGCCAAGTTTCGTGCTAAACCGACGCCGTTTGGTGATTTTGGGGCGTTAAAATCTCGAATTTAAGTTTCTTAAGGAACTAGTTTGCTTAAAGTGAAATTCGGCTCTAACTCCCAAACCGGGAACCCGATTCGAGCCCCGTCTTCTCCCACAAATCTCTCGTGCCTAGGCGGTCGTGTGTGCCAAGTTTTGTGCTAAACCGACGTGGTTTGGTGATTTTGGGGCATTAACTCATCGAATTCAAGTTTCTTAAGAAACTAGTTTGCCTAAAGTGAAATCCGACTCTAACTCCCAAACCGGGAACCCGATTCGAGCCCCGTCTTCTCCCACAAGTCTCTCGTGCCTAGGCGGACGTGTGTGCCAAGTTTCGTGCTCAACCGACGCCGTTTGGTGATTTTGGAGCCTTAACTCCTCGAATTCAAGTTTCTTAAGAAACTAGTTTGCCTAAGGAAATCGATTCTAACTCCCAAACCGGACCCGATTCGAGACCCCCGTCTTCTCCCACAAAGTTCTCTCGTGCCTAGGTGGTCGTGTGTGCCAAGTTTCGTGCTAACCCGACGCCGTTTGGGATTTTGGGGCGTTAATACCTCGAATTCAAGTTTCTCAAGGAACTATTTGTCTTAAAGTGAAATTCGGCTCTATCTCCCAAATCGGGAACCCGATTCGAGCCCCGTCTTCTCCCACAAGTCTCTCGTGCCTAGGCGGTCGTGTGTGCCAAGTTCATGCTAAACCGAGCCGATTGGTGAATTTGGGGCATTAACACTCGAATTTAAGTTTCTTAAGGAACTAGTTTGCCTAAAGTGAAATCGGTTCTAATCCCAAACGGGAACCCGATTCGAGCCCCTTCTTCTCCCACAAGTCTCTCGTGCCTAGGCTGTCGTGTGTTACCAAGTTTCGTGTTAAACCGACGCCGTTTGGTGATTTTGGGGCGTTAAAATCTCGATATTCAAGTTTCTTAAGGAACTAGTTTGCTTAAAGTGAAATTCGGCTCTAACTCCTAAACTGGGAACCCGATTCGAAGCCCGCTTTCTCACAAGTCTCTCGTGCCTAGGCGGTAGTGTGTGCCAAGTTTCGTGCTAAACCGACGCCGTTTGGTGATTTTAGGGTGTTAACTCCTTGAATTCAAGTTTCTTAAGGAAGTAGTTTGCCTAAAGTGAAATCTGGTTCTAACTCCCAAACCGGGAACCCGATTCGAGCCCTATCTTCTCCCACAAGTCTCTCGTGCCTAGGCAGTCGTGTGTGCCAAGTTTTGTGCTAAATCGACGCCGTTTGGTGATTTTGGGGCATTAACTCTTCGAATTCAAGTTTCTTAAGGAACTAGTTTGCCTAAAGTGAAATTCAGCTCTAACTCCCAAACCGGGAACTCGATTCGAGCCCCGTCTTCTCCCACAAGTTTCTCGTGGCTAGGCGG